TGTTTGTGGTTAATGAAGATCAATCTCTCCTATTCAACGTGTTACTAGCATGTGCATTCCACTTGTTCATGGTGATCTTTTTTTAACGTCTGTTGCCAACTAAAATTTACCCAAAAAAATTGGGCTTCAGATCACAAATTCTCTTACATAGCGCACCTATGCCAGAGGGGCCAGCCACGAGAGCAACATGGGCCCTACAAGCAGCGTAGCACATGGACGCATTTTTTTATGTGCGACACAGAGTTCTTCTCCTGTTCTAGTTCAGTTGAAACCCTTGCATCATCGACGCCGCCTCCTCTCGCGACGTTTGGTGCCAAGCATCGCTGTCAATCCAGTGCCCGTCCGACTCCTCCGCCCGTTCGACGACTCCTCCACCCGTCCACCGTGGTTGGTGCGTCTCATCATTGCAGAATAATGTCAGGTCATGATAGGAGTTGGATGTGCTTGCCTCATTCTTCAATTGAGTGGCAGGAGAATCTCTGAAATTTTCTAGACATCACATTTGGTGGCACATCGAGAGGTGGAACTACTGCGTGTCCATGTCCTAGATGTGTATGCATGGCATACAGACCGTGGCCTCTGGTTCAGCTTCATTTGCTTCATAGAGGGTTTGATGAAAGCTTTATTAGGGAAGGGGAAGGTTCAGATGTGGGATTGCACAACGAAGACGCACCAGCAGCTGATGTAGAAGTACACAATGATGCACCACCACTAGCTGATGTAGAAGTAGACAACGAATCCGCACCACATGAAGTTGGAGTAGACAACGAAGAAGACGCACTGAGTGATGACGACCGTGGTGTCACTAATTTGGTTAGATCCCTAATTAGAGGTGCTATACATTCAGAGATACTGATGACAATGAACAGCCGAATGAACATGCGAAGATATTCTTCAAATTATTACAGGAAGTAGAAAAGAAATTGTATCTAGGTTGCGAGGTTGCTACTAAGGTCTCTTTTATTGTGAAACTTTTCCAGGTTAAGTGCTTGTACGGTATTAGTAACAGAGCATTGGAGGGGGTACTTAATCTGTTCACAAGGTTTTTTCCTAAAGGCCACTGTGTCCCGGACACAATGGAGAAAGTGCAAAGGGTGGTTCGAGATCTAGGCTTGGACTATGTAAAGATACACGCCTATGAGAAGGATTGTGTGTTATTTTGGAAGGAAAACGCAAATCTGGATACATGTCCCAAATGTGGCGAGTCTAGGTGGAAAACGACCGACGATGGTGCTCACAAGGATGTTGCGGATGGTGATGCTGATACAACAAACAAGAAGCATGTCCCACATAAAATCCTACGGTACTTTCCTCTTACTCCTCGGCTACGAAGATTATATATGACAGAGAGCACATCATCACAAATGCAATGGCATAAGGAAGAATTGGTCGATGATGGCAAAATGCATCACCCTGCTGACTCGAAGGCATGGAAGCATGTGGATAACAAGTATGGTTGGTTTGCAAAGGAAGCTCGTAATATTAGGCTGGGTCTTGCTTCTGATGGCTTCAACCCCTTTGGCATGCAAAATGTTACATACACCACATGGCATGTTATCCTCATCCCTTACAATTTGCCTCCTTGGTTGTTTGAGAAATAGCCTTATTGGATTATGTCGATGTTGATTCCTGATTCAAAATCTCCTAGAATGAATATTGATGTATATTTGAGGCCCCTCATTGATGAGCTGAAGGATCTTTGGGAAAAGGGAATTGATACATGGGATGACAAGGTAAAGAAGAATTTTAAACTACATGCTATTTTGATTTGGACAATTAATGACTTTCCTGCATATGCGATGCTTTCTGGTTGGAGCACAAAAGGCAAATTTGCATGTCCATATTGCCACAAGGATACAGATTATTTGTGGTTGAGATTTGGAAAAAAAGCACTGCTACATGGGACATCGTCGTTTTTTGCCGTCGGACAATCCTTGGTGCATGAACAAGATGAGCTTCAACAATGAGGTGGAAACTAGGGAGGCTCCAGTACCACTGTCTGGTCAATAGGTATTGGACTAGTATGAAACTTTTGATCAAGTGATATTCGGAAAGGCGACATAAATAAAGAGGAAGCGTGACAAAGATAAAAGATGGCACAATTGGAGGAAGAAGAGTATTTTTTTTAGCTCCCTTACTGGTCTTGTTTGCTCATAAGGCATAATTTGGACGCGATGCACATTGAGAAAAATATATGCGAGAGCATATTGGGTACTTTGCTTGAAATTGAAGGTAAATGTAAGGACAACAAGAAGACCCGACTTGACATGGAACAGCTAGGGATAAGGCAAGATCAGCACCCTGTCATTGACAATGATAATTATACCTTGCCACCAGCCTTGTACTTTTTAGATAAGGCTGACAAGAAAAGTTTATGCCAATTTCTACATGGAGCGAAGATGTCTGATGGGTTTAGCTCCAATATAAGGAGATGTGTTGACGCAAATGCATGTAAGGTGTCTAGACTGAAAACACATGACTACCATATTATTCTACAGAAATTGTTACCCTTAGTCATCAGAAAGATTTTGCCTGAAGAAGTTGTCATGCCATTGATTCAGCTTAGTAGGTTCTTTAGTGCACTTTGTTCGAAGGAGCTAGTGGAAGAATATCTTGACAAACTTAGCAATTCAATTAAAGAGACTCTTTGCCGGCTTGAGATGGTATTCCCACCTGCATTTTTTGATATCATGATTCATTTGCCGATTCATCTAGCTGAAGAGGCTAAACTTGGAGGGCCCGTGTGTTATAGATTGATGTATCCAGTTGACATGTATCTACGTACTGTTAAAGGCTATGTGAGAAACAAGGCACACCCAAAAGGTTCAATAGCTAAGGGATACATAGCCGAGGAGTGTCTTACATTTTGCTCTAGATTCTTGGACGTCGACACCAAGCTGAATCGCGCTGACCGTCATGAAAGTACAACAGTGAATGAGCCGCCATCTGGTCTGAGCGTATTTGGAGAAATGGATTACAAGAGGAGAGGACAGACTACCAAGATATTTGGTGCAGATGAGGTTCGGAAGTGGAGGCACTACATAATTAGTAACTACGATGAAGCCAGACCATGGGTTGAGTAAGTTGCAATATACCATCATTAATTACTCTACTTTTTGTTTCTGGCATCAACTAATTAATTAATTGGCTATTTCGATGCAGCGAGCACATGGAAGAACTAAAAAAATAGTATAAGGAATCTTAATAAACGACACGAGGAGCACTTTGTAAGGTGGTTCGAGGGCAAGGTTAGTTCTATTTTTTATTTTTTTATTCCATGTGATGGTTAGAACGATGTACTTATTAACTGGCATTTGTTTTCAAACTGTGTTTGCAGATCACCAAACTATACGAGAAAGGTGAAGCAAGTGAACTTATGTATGCCCTTTCTCAAGGACCGGACCATCGAGGTCGTGTGTTCAATAGATGCTACATCAATAACTGGCTATTTTGAACGACTACCATTGAGAGAAACCTCATCACACAAAATAGTTGCTTGTGAGGGGTGATGGTACTACTGGCAACATGACCTGGTATGGAGTGATTAGAAGAATGATCTCACTCGAGTCCCCTGCATAAAAAGAAGTTTTATTATTTTAGTGTGATTGGTATGATGTGTCGGCTGCCAGTACCAGCACAAGTAGAGGATACAATAGGGATAAATATGGTGTTATCAATATCGATACTTCCAGGTTCAGATATTCAAATGAACCTTACATTCTGGCAACACAGGCCGAACCGGTGTTTTTTGTCAACCTCGTGAACAAGCCAGGATGGTCTAGTATTGTTGCGGTGAGACCAAGAAATTTGTTTGCCATGCCAGAAGCAGAAAATGAGGGTGACATGGAAGTCAATCTACTTGATGTGGGAATCCAAGACATGAATCTATTAGGCCCAAATGAGGATTTGTCAAATTGGACAAGACCAGACAAGGAAGGCACGACTAGTGATGCCTCTGTTATTAATTAGGTGCGTGGTGAAGCAGTTCTCGAACCAGATGATGCGGTCTTACTTGATGAGGATGATGATGACGAAGATGACACCTACATTGACGATGGAGTTGTTGCACCAGTTGCAGTAGAAAGCATAGAAGATGATTTCTTTGTTTAAATACTTATCCTTTGTACAACAGTGATGTTTTTTCTGGATTTTTTTTAAACAATCTCATTGTCCGGGATAATGAATAGCTGCAGTTGGTCTTTAAACTGTTATACTCATGTTTGTTTTCTATCATAAGCACAAATATCAGCAAGCTGGACAATTTTTTTGTTTTCTGAAATTGTCATGGAAGATGCGGATGGTTATCGTCCTTGTTGACATATGAAGTGAATTAGACATCTTCATCATGTAAACAAGTAATATAAAGGTGGCTCAATGTTGAACACACCTTAGTAGCCCAGTGGTAGATGAGTGTTTGCTTGTACTTTAGTTCCTGGGATCAAATCCTCTGTGGAACATTTTTTTTGTCAATAGAATACATTATTCAGAAATGCGTGGAGCATTTTGTCTATTGCAACTATTTTTGGTATATTGCAACATTTTTAGGCCGTTGCATCAAGGGTAGTCTAATGCGTGGAGCATTTTGTATATTGCAACCAATTTTGTATATTGCAACACTTTCAGGCCGTTGCATCAGCGGTAGCCTATAGCAACACAAAAAAACCGTGGCAATATTAACATGATATTGTGACCATTTAGGATTATAGTTGCAATAAGTACTTAACAATTGCAACGCCACAAAAAATTATTACAACCCCAGAAAACCATGGCAATAGGAACATGCTATTGCATCCATTCAGAAATCTTGTTGCAATAACCACCCTAGCAATTGCAACACCATGGAACATTATTGCAACCCATAATAACCGTGGCAATAGTTACAAGCAAAAGCAACCAAATCCAATATAGTTGCAATAACACCAAGTAATTGCAACGAAAACCAATACTATTGCAACTCAAAAATGCCATTGCAATAATGCCAACTAATTGCAACACAATTCTTAAATGGTTACAATAGCACAAGCCTGTTACAATGACAAACCACACATATTGCAATAAATTTAGTCCGTTGCATTATAGGCACATATTGCAACCATTTTTTGAAAAGGTTGCAATACGACCCACCTATGGCAACCAAATTAGTGGTGTTGCAATCATGTGGCATGGCATTAAAGGTAGAACCTTGTAGTGTTATTAGCACTGAAAAGTTCATAGTAGGGGGTACAAATGGGCGAGAGAGGGACAGGTCCCAAGTCTATGATGGAAAGGTCGAACGGGTGCTGAGAGCTTGGATGCTGCTTAGCTGTGTGTTATGTGATGCGTGGTGTGTTGAATCGATCGGTCTTTTTTCTTAGTGGGGTGCCCTGCCTTCCCTTTTATAGATCAAGGAGGAGCAGGGATTACAGATGGGAGAAAGAAAAAAAATCAGAGGCAAAGAAGGTCCTTCGAAGGTGCCGGGTCTTCCTTTTCCTCTGAGCCAGTCCTACTGACATGGCAGATGATGCCAAGGATAGCTCCATGCTGGGCGTCTATCCGTTGATGATGCCATGCTCTGACTTGATCAGCTAGTGGTCATGTCCCATCCCGCCCCGTCGGGCATCGCGACGGACCGAGGTGTTGATCCACAATCCCATGGGGAACGGATGGCGTAGTGACTGCACGTCCGTCACTGTAGAGGACGTGAGTCTCCTCTTGGACCGTAGTGGTTGTTGTATGGTTCCGTTAGGATCCACGCCCGAGGGCCAATGGCGGCGCCCACAACACTATAAAATAAATGTCGACGCCTACAACATTGTTTGGGATCTGACATGCCCGGAAGGGCCTTAAAGCGCCCATCTTGTCATATCCTGATGGTACTTTCCAGTAGGCGTGCAAGGTGTGGTTCTCGATATTGCGGTTGACTTGAGTGTCCTGCCTTATCTGCGCACATAGTTATGAAGGAGCAGCGTGCTGATGTCGGGCGAGGCGGAGCCTACCCTCCCTCAGACGTCGGGCGAGGTAGAGCCAACCCCCGAACGTCGAGCGAGGTGGAGTCTGCCCTCAGACGTCGGGCAAGGCAGAGCTAGCCCCCGAACGTCGAGCAAGGCGGAGCTAGCCCCCAGACGTCGGGCGAGGCAGAGTCTACCCTCAGACGTCAGGCGAGGCGGAGTCTGCCCTCAGACGTCGGGTGAGGCGGAGCCAACCCCCGAACATTGGTCAATGCGGAGTCTGCCCTCAGATGTCGGGCAAGGCGGAGCCAACCCCCGAAACGTCGGGCGAGGCGGAGTCTATCCTCAGACGTCGGGCAAGGTGGAGTCTGCCCTCAGATGTCGAGCGAGGTGGAGCCAACCCCCGGACGCCGGGCGAGGCGGAGTCTGCCCTCAGACGTCGGGCGAGGTGGAGTCTGCCCTCAGACGTCGGGCAAGGCGGAGCCAGCCCCCGGACGTCGGGCGAGGCGGAGTCTGCCCTTGGTCGTTAGGCAAGAGGTGTAGTCGCGCTCTTGTCTATTCGGAAGCATCAACGTTTGATGATTATTAGCTCCTACTCTTCGGGTACCCCAGTATTTGGTCCCCGACATATACCTAGGACTTCTAGTTGGGCTGGACCATATTTGTGGGGTTCTAGTGGCTCTCTAACTTTAGTTTTTGGGCCCCGCGGGGGAGAATACATACCCACCCCATTTCGAGGCCCCGAACCCAACACCAGCGGGGTGAAAAGTGGACCCACCCCTGCCCCTGACCCCGCAGGGTCCAAAACCCGCAGGTTTCGGGTCTAGACCCGCCCCGTTGCCATCCTTACTCTAGTGCTTCATACTGCTCTCAGGCTATAACCTATACCTTATCTTGTTCTTGGAAGATTAGTATTTAGAAAGTATTCTTCCTATTATTTTGTAGTACCTCTTCTTTATTATTGACCAAGGGTACAAAAATAGTATATTACCTCGTCAAATGACTCAAATATTTCGATACTTGGTTGGTGAATGATGCACACAACTGTTCGACCTGTGTCCGCAGCGTTCTTTACCGCACGCATGACAATAGCAGCTGCCCTTGCATCCAAGCCTGATGTTGGCTCATCCATGAATATGATTGAAGGGTTAGATACAAGCTCAACTGCTGTTGTGAGCCGCTTCCATTGCTCTGTAGATAGTCCATTTATGCCTGGTATCCCAACCAAAGCATCTCTTATTTCATCCAACTCAATTGTTTCTAGAACTTGATTGACAAATTCCTGTGAGAGAAAATAATAGCAGTCACCTTGTAGTTCTTTGTAATTTTCCTTGTAGATAAGATAGAATTATGAAAGAAAATCCACTTATCTATGACATTTCATAAAATATAACTCACATTTTGGGTTTTGGAGTTGATTTCTATAGGAAGGCGCAACCAGGCTGAATATGCAACAGACTCACCCACTGTGATCTGTGGGGAATGAACATCAGTTTGTTCACAGTAACCTGATATCCTAGCAAAGGTTTGTTGAACTTTAGGATAACCTCCTATTCTTATATCTCCTTCTATAACACCACCAGTTTTCCTCCCAACAAGAACATCAAGCAAGGTTGTTTTCCCTGCCCCAGTAACCCCCATGAGTGCTGAAAGGACTCCTGGTTGGAAGGCTCCTGTGATGTTGTGGAGTAGTTGAATTTTTCTCTCCATGTAACCTTGCTCCCTCATTTCCTGCAACAAAACACTTTTATGGTAAAAAATGTTCTGAACTTTTTTTGTTGCTATAGTAAGTTTGATTTTTCTCTTTGTTTGATTCATTGGGAAGCACAAGTGTCTGCCATGCCCATATGTTGGTCCATCAAGCACAGCTTTCTTCCACTAGTAATTGTCTTGACTTTTTAGGGTACGATAATTACCACAGGTGTGTCCACGTAGTAGTTCACATCCTGAAATGATATTGCAAGGGGTGTGAAAGGTAATACCATCCTTCCTGCATAATATTTGATTATTGAAAACTGAGTTTCATGTAACTGACACTCAAGCAGTATTTTGTTGCACACACTATAGAATTGAGACTAACCAGTCCTCCTGGGAGTAGAAGAATTTTCTTCTTGTGGCTTATGTATACCATCTTCAGTGTATTGAGCCATACATTGGTCTCTCCCATTAAATGTGGTAAGCTATCACGAGAAATAATAGCTCTAGAAGTTCCTGGAGCTGAGAATGAGGTACATGGGAGATTAGAACAGTTTGTGCTTTGATGTTTGAACTATTCAACATAAGCTTTTATCAACTTCACAATCAAGTTACATCTGAAAATACAAGTATTCCAGATTTTTAATTCAAAGAAATTTTAGCCACAATACACTTACGCTTTCTAATAGTCAAGCCAAAGGCAAAGCCTATATTGAATAACAAAATGAACCCAATTAATGCTCCAACTGAAATCCAGTAGAAGTAGCTGGAGAAGTTCAACCCTCTATCCATTAATATCCTTCGTCCAAGTGTCACACCAGATACCGTGAACTACCAAAATAGAAAAAAATAGTACAATGTCAGAGTGCTGAAAAACTGCATATTAAATATCTTTTGTTATATTTTGTATTGTGTTAGTATGAATCAATTAAAAGGGAAAAATATGTTAGTTTTACACTTTTAAACACGGCTTGAAAAAAATTAGGCCTTCAGTTCAGCTAACAAGGTAGGAGTAGTAAACTACAGTAAAATTATACAAATAGTGTATACAACAAATACACCATGCTTCCAAAGATCAAGAGACATGCTTTTAGTTATGGAGGAGTCTAAATTATCAATAAAAATTCTTTTTATGCCAAAGTTTACTTTTAGCCATCTTGGCGCCAAGAACTCATTCCCAGTTAAGCCTATCTCAGCATATGATAATGGAGAAAGCCAAAATCCCCATTTCAACCAATTAGGCATGGATGCTGTAGCAGTTTGACCCAAAAATGTGTTAGGAAACTTTTGTTTAATAGTTGAAGGTCAATATCTTGCTTGAAGTATAAATTCATGAAACCATGGGAATGCCTTACGGCGAGGAATGATGAAACCCCCAGATAGAAGGATGACTAGAAAGGACATTGTACCACCCACTGAACCAGCAACCATTGTTTAGCAATAAGAGGCAACACATCTAAACATCGATAATGCTCCAGTGTGGATCAGGAAGAGGATAAGAAGATGACGGAAGAATCTGCACACACAAATGGTTCATGGTAGAATATATAAAGCAGTAACGAAATCTCATCTTTTTTGAGCAAATAGTTGTAACTGAATATTAGCAGATAGAGCTATAGATAAGGCCTAAGGGGAACATATCGACCTCATCGGATCAGATCACTGAAAATTAGTTAAACAATCTACCAAGGCATCTTTTTGCTAGACTACTAAGGAAAAATGTCATATACATGAGAGGCATGGTTTACATCTTCATTTAAAGAAGCTTATGCAGATAAAAGTTGACACATATAAGCATTATTACCAAAGTTGATAACAGAAATATGATATGATTGAATTAGTCATAACGAAATTGTAATTCCTACCTGGATGCCTCAGTAGTATAGCCAATGAGGAAGTAAGATAGTGATGCCCAAGCTATTGACTCGACTAAAGAGATTGGAACCTTTAGGATAAAAGCTGGTACTGCATACGCCCATGAAGGGTAGAAGTAATAGTCTCTTTGTTTGTAGAAGACTGGAAGTCTACTAATTGCCATGGCAAGCTCAGGGAATCCATTCACCATCAGCAGGAGGAGTGCATAGAAGAGCGAACCCATGTAATAATTAGCATGAACTCTATCAATACCCATATGTGTGCGCAAAAATACTGTCCCAGTAATAGCGGCAAGTAATGCAAGCTGCAGTAATAGTGCACTATGAATTTCTAATGGTTACGCTAAGAAAAATATAAAATCATATATTAATTCATATCTTCTGTAAGATATACTTTTCAATTTTTCACCCTAGCACACTAAAATACTGTAATGTTCATATAAGCACATGAGAGTTTAATTTTTTAAATATCAAACTGTGTAGGAAGTTCAAGTAATATTAATGCAGGTTATCAATTTGTTACCCTTTTTTTTAGATGTTCTGATGTTCCAACATTCCACTTTTCTGAGCACGTAGAACAAAATAGCTAGGTACTGCAGATTTGGTCAATTCCATGTACTAAGAGTGTGTGATGTGACCATTTGTGTCTATACCGTGTAAAGTGTAAGGAAAATGGACCCTAGACCCATTTACTTTGGATTTTGGTGTTTGATGACAACACAACCAAATTGGACTAATAAATTTGCAAGTAATTATTTTGTAGTTCAATAGGGTGCAAGACATGACTTGGACAAAGGCGACATGATGATCCTACGATCAACACCATAAGCAAGACCCTAGAAGCACAAGAGAAGACCCAAGATATCAAGCAAAGTCTAAGCACGAAGATGGAAACCAAGCCGGACGCAAGATCGCGAAGAAACGAGCTCGGCAGAGGTGACCGGACGCGGCCCTTATAGGGACCGGACGCGTCCGATCAGTTGCTCGGCAACGGCAGGCGTCAGCAGCAGCGACCGGACGCTGAGGACTAAAAGTGACCGAACGCGACGATGACAATGTTCACTGTCACGACAATACCTCAGCACTGACCGGACGCTGGAGGGTGATCGACCGGATGCAGGAACTACAGCGTCCAATCGAGTCCAGAGAGGTTCCAGAGCGGCGACAGCACGACCGGGCGCGTTCGGTCAACAGTGACCGGACTCGACAGTGCGTCTGATCAACGCGCACGCTCCAACGGTCGGCATGACCGGACGCGTCCGGTCAGGACGAAAGCAGCATCCGGCCAATAGCAGAAAAGTGGGTTTGTCATCAACGGCTACTTTCTCAATGGGGCTTATAAATAGACCCCCCAACCGGACATTTAAATATAGTGGAGCTGAGGAAACATAACAAGGGTGTTGATACACCATTTTAGTGATATCCACTTGTATAGTGCTTAGTGATTCAATAGGTGATTAGCGTAGGTGCTTTGTGAAGTGTTTAGATTGATTAGACCACCGCTTATGCGTTTGCTCTAGGTTTAGGCCTAGTGTTTAGTGAGGTTTGCATACCTCTTGCCACTCGGTGCATGCGCGCACCATTGTTGTACATCGGAGAGGCTTGTAGTCTTGCGAGATCACACCAACCGCGTTTGTGGTGTGGCCATCACCGTGTACCGAAGGGAACAAGGCCCGCAGCGGTTCGGCCGGAAGCTTCATAGTGAAGACGGTGGGGAGCGGTCCGGGAGAGGCTTGCCGGAAGGCACACCGGAGACCCACTTGCGCGTGGGGAAGGCCCGGGGCTATCCACAGAGTTACCCGACCGGAAGCTTGGCCCTTGCGAGGGATTCCTTGCGAGGGGCTCCAACGAGGACTAGGGAGAAGCTTGCGCGCTTCTCGATATCTCGGTAAAAATATCGGAGTCGTCGACGGGAGTTTGCCTATCTCTACCTTACTCTTTAGCTTTCGCATTTACATTGTTTGCATAACTCCTTTTGCGGTAGAGATAGCAACACACTAGCAAAAATCATAGTTACACATTTAGATAGTTTATCTTTTGCATAGGTTTTTGCTAAGGATAAAAAGAGGTCATAGTTTAGAGTTAAACCTTTAAGTTGCCTAATTCACCCCCTCTTAGGTGTCACGGTCACTTTCACAAAGAAAATGAAGTTTTACTTCAATTGGTATCTATTAAGTTGCATGCACCGACTAATTCAACCCAAAAGCTTAAGCTGATGTGGAAAGATGGATAATTTACTTATATTCAACACTCCTCTCACGTGGAGGCTCCCTCAGGCCTCACATGTGGAATAGGAGCGAGCAATAATTATTTTATTTTATTGCGTTAACTAGGACTCAAACTCAAGACTTCTGGCGTGGATATCATATTGAGTTGTATGCACCGATCACTTCAACACAAAAGCTTAAACTGATGAGGGGAGATAGGCAATTCACTTATATTCCAACAGTATCCAAGTTCATAGAATAGAGATCTCTTAATTGTTGGGAGGGTTCATGATACACTAATAGTTCACTCTGACGTGAAAGATGATTAAAAAATAAAGAACACGATTTTCTCATTCTTGTGCAAAGGTTTGATTACAATGTCCACAGTAACAAAACAAATTTATCAATATATTTCTATACTTAGAGGGCTGATCTAGCACAATGGTAGAATCTGGCATGGAGGGTCATGTTCAAATTAGCATTTTCTTTAAAAAAGAAAAAGAAGAGCAAGGGTAAGAAAAGCCTAGAAATCCCAATCCCTACACCCCACGATTTGAGGAAGCTTTCAGCACTATATACATCCCAAGCATTTTGGTGTATAGCAAAAAGTACAAATAATATGTGTGATTTTCATATGGTCGTCGATATTTAGCTCCATGCATTCATGTAGAACTGTAAAATTAGGTAGCAAGCTTTCGTATTTGTTTTATAATACATAATGCACATGTTCAACATTTTTTGCGGGTCTATGTTCAAAATTTTGTATTTATTGACAATATTTTTCTACAAAAAAAATCATTTCTAAGTGCTTTACCTGAACAGTTTTTGTTATGTAGATGAAGGCATTCCGTTTCATGAGGAGAAGCTCCCTTGCAAAACATGCTTTGAGGAGGTCCCACTTGGATAACGAGTAGATACTGTAGGACAATGCATTTTTATGCCCTTTTGATTTGTCATAAGGTTTTGAAATATCTCCAGCAAGACTTTGACCAATTTGAGACACTCTAAACTTGTCGCACAACTGGTCAACAGTAACAAAATTGTATGTTTCTCCGCAGCTGATCCAATATTGTTGTTGGTCCTTTTTGACCTATATATAAGTATGGATGAATGAGAATTCCTAGCTTCCAATGGAGTTAACCAATTAGCCGAAAATATAATATAGTCTATAACAGACTATTGCTTCATAGGTACAGTTGTCAATCATTTTCCATGATCCTTTCACAAACTATAGATGTTACTCCTTGGTACGTTACAGATGGTTAAACATGAAGATGGTTAAACACTTTGTCAACCTAAGCATCTGTGTCCACAAAAAAAAAAAAAAATAGATAGAAGGCATCAAACAAGGTTTTGCAAGTCATTACTGCTAAATATCTAGTTTAACTATTATGCGTATATCCTGCAACTAAAGATGGCAAAAAAAAAAAAACTGATATGCTAAGGCATCAAAAAAGGTTTGGCGCTATGATATCAAGACATTATGCATTACAAAGCACCCAACCATATCTTAATAGCAAAAGAAGATGATTCTGATAGAGTTTATCTCAACAGCTACAAAGATTTGGATAGTATGTACATTAGTGTATCTCAAGTCCTATAACACGAATAAAACATACAAATGACTTATAGGGTCATCACAAGGGTTTCGGGTGCGGATATCATTTTTCCATGCCCACGAGCAAATATCCATCGGGTTTAGAATAATGGTCGGGCACAAACTTAAACCCATATCCATGCCCATCGGGTTTTCTATCCTAATCGGATCCTTCGTTGCCATCTTTAGAAGACAAATGATAGATCACAAGATTTTAGTAGAAACAGTGGTTAGACCCTAATCTCCTTCATAGAAGACTAGTAGTAGAAACATAGATACCATAGTACCTTCGTATACTCTCATTTGTGCTCTAGTGGGAAACATATTTTGTTAAATGAATTATGCTATTCCCCAACAAATGTTATGAACAAGTAATGATATGATATAGGAAATGTAACAGAAACTGCAAGATTCCATTGTTGCTTGTTTCGACATAACCAATTTTGTATTACAGTATTACCTCTTGGAGAAAGTCAGCAGCACCTTTCCTATCAGGGCACTTGAATCCACATGATTCAAAGAAACTCATAATGCAACTCTTAGATCCATGGTACACAATTTTTCCTTCGGCCATCAATATAATATCATCAAAAAAAGCTCATAAGTCTCTGGTGCTGGTTGAAGAAGTGAGACTAGTATGGTAGACTCTGAGATATGAGCCAACTGTTGGAGGCAAGAAACAATTTGGAAGGTTGTGGAGCTATCCAGCCCAGTTGATATTTCATCCATGAAGAGTGCTTTTGAGGGTCATACTATCATCTCTCCTGATAGTTAGACAAGTTTTTTAAAGAAAATAGTTAGACACATTTTAAAAAAATGGAACAACCATCCACAATTGAATCAACTAAATTTAGCTACCTAATGTAGACCGATTGAGGTTGGGATTATATAGCAAATGGATACACATATATCTTTCCTTCTTTAAACCAAAACCGGTTATTTCCAGTTTGCAATGCATAGGACAGGGGGGGTGTGGGGGTCCCTTAAACTAAAAAGAAGAAAGAAGAAATGAAATGGAGTATATCATTCCATCAGAATTATAGACTTTTAGTCGGTGCTTGTAGTATTTTAGTTCAATCCCTATTCCCTACAGAATTGTAATTGGGATGATGACATCATCATCATCAAATAATTCTAGCTATCGCGGTATCACCTGTGGTAAGTCTCTTCTTCTCACCGCCTGAAATACCTCTTCTCATTGCATCTCCCACCATTATGTCAGCACATATGTCAAGTCCCATGATCTGTCAATCGAGGCAGAGCTTATTCATTCATATATAGGGAAAGATTCTCACACAGTGGACAAAGAGCTTGCATGTTTCCTTAGACGACAATTAAGATAAGAATATATATATACCTTCATAATGTAGTCTGTTTGCATGCTCGTTTCTAAACCTTCGACAGATATCGCCTATGGAAAAACATGTGATGCGCATTAGAACTGAAGTAGAATCATGCACGTTCTATGATTTGCTTGTTAGATAATCAAAAAGAGAGGATTGCATGTACTGATAAACTATATAAAAATTGATGTATCACTTGATAAAACTACTAGTGTTTTACCTTCATATAAGTGTCGACATCAGGGTCAGGGGTAATCCCGGCCGCCTTCTCCCTTCTAATCACCTCCTCCATGATTTCTGATAAAGATAGAGCGGTATGTACTGAGAATGAGTGATTGCCTGCCTATTATTTTGATTTGATTTAAGACATTGAGCCAGCCGGTTGATGAGATGAACGAAGCTAGTTATTTAGTACAGTAACCTGCTCTGTTGCCAACGCCTTGGAATCTTGCAGAGAAGTCGATAGTCTCTCTGACAGTCATCTCAGGGACATGAAGGTCGTACTGATCGATGTAAGCTGCGGTCTTCTCCGGGACGAAGTGCTTCAGCTCCACACCATTGTACTCTATGTCTCCTGTGACCCTGAGACTGGCGTTGTTGAGCTTCCCCGCGAGCGCCTTGAGGAGGGTGGTCTTGCCGCAGCCAGGGGGTCCCAGGAGCAGCGTCAGCCTGGAAGGCTTGACGACGCCGCTGAGGATGCGGATCCTGGCTTGCTGCCGGTTGAGGTTGAGGCCCAGCATGGTGGAGCATACAGAGAGGTTGGAGATGACGGCGTTCCAGATGGTGGGGAGCGGCTTCCCCTGCACCACCTGGCATTCCGCCTCGACGCAGACGTCGCGCCAGCGCACCTCCACCGTGGGCGGGCGGACGCCGATCCTGTCCATCCTCTGGCGCTGCTTGCGGAGCAGGCGGAGGTTGTCGCGGTGGACGTTGGCGATGAGGTTGTCCACCACCTGGACACGGTCTTGGTCTGTGTGGAGGAGCAGCGAGGTGTGAAGCCTGTCCAAGGTGGGCAGCCTCTCGACGCCCGCCCATCTCAGCTCAACCTCGTCATCCTTGTCCTGATGCTCGTGTTGCAGCTGGTTGAGGGAGAGCGAGCGGGACAGGCTCTCCCTGAAGCTGGCTGCCGCAGCCCGCCACGACGACGACGACGACTGCTGCTTCTGCAGAGGTGATTCCCTGCCGATCTCCAGCGACAGTTTGTGTATCCTCTTCTTCAACCGCCTTTACTTATTGGGCCGCTGCCATGAGTCCGTCTGTGGCCCACGGCCCAGCACCGCTGCCTCACGGGAGCTTCCCCGGCTCCTAGAACCTCTGCCTGAGGTGCCTTCGCCAGGACGTTCGCACCGATGCGTGGACCATAGCCTCCGCCTGTATCGCCACAGCCTTCGCCTTCGGCTGCATTCGAGCGCCTTCGCCGCAGCTTCCGGACCTTCGCCCAAGGCGGCCGACCAGGCGGAGGTTCCCATCTTTTTTCCCTGCGCTTCCAGCAGCTCATGGTCTTGCTCATCACGATGATCATCCAGCTGCTGGCGCTCCTCGCCGTCGCCACCTTGGTGATCCATGTCCATCACAATGCGCGGCCCCTGCTTCGGCTCCTACTTTACTACTCGTCGTCGTCGCCGTCCTGCACTTGCAGTTGTCGTCGCCTATAGGCTATAGCAATGGCATACAAACAGGGAAGGGAAGCAGGGCAGAGCATGTTGAGCAGGCTGCAACTGCAACATATCCAACAATGGGTCGCCTCGCCGATTCCATTTTCATTCTGTCTGTGTAGGAGTATATACTGTAATATCTAATACATACATGGCAATGGCAATGGCAATGGCCAATGGTGGCATTGGTTGGTGTACACGCTACACAGTGCAGACCACACACACAGCTTAGATAGAGCTTACATAATATATATTAACATAAACAATAGGAGTATGCTTTGGTGATGCACGGATGCTGATGGTGATGGAGCTTCGCTCGGTTGCTTCATCCTCAAATCTTCATCTTAATTTATCCCCTTCAATTTTCTTCTCTTCCAATGCAAGAATCCCAATTTCTTTGACTTTTAATTGGTGATGAGTTTGACTAGACATTGGCATTATTATATACAGTGATGATTCATTCCTATCTCTCATTTCTTGGGCAGGATCCATCCATCCAACCAAAAGCTGATGTAAGCCATGACGTTGCTCATCCATGTTCTAAGTTTTTTTTTCTTTCTTTTGAACCTAAACAGGCAGGATCTGCAGTTTACTTACTAAAAAAAATATGGAAGTCAGCCTAAGCCGAGAATGATAAGTTTAATTATACTCCTAGTTGTCTACAGCCGGAAACATGCACACACATCATTGTTCACGTGTCCTGCCTCTCACAGGTCACACGAGAATGACAATGATAGACGTACTTCTTTTAGTACATACATAAATACAGAGTAGCACAATATGAATACGTACAGAGTTAACAACATGCACAATGTTTATACACAGACTAAAGACAACACATTTACACATGCAGCATGGGCTACCTGGCTGCAAAGCAGAGAAAAATTCTAGAGCACGCCAGGTGTTGGGACACGGTTACGAGTCGCGGAGGCACCAAGGCTCGCAGTGGCGTTAAGAACTAACGATTAACAAAGTTCTGTGGGCGTTGTGTAGGGAAAAAAGATGGGAACCTCCGCCTGGTCGGCCGCCCTGGGCGAAGGTCCGGAAGCTGCGACGAAGGCGCTCGAATGCAGTCGAAGGCGAAGGCTCTGGCGATACAGGCGGAGGCTATGGTCCACGCATCGGTGCGAAGGTCCTGGCGAAGGCACCTCAGGCGGAGGTTCTAGGAGCCGGGGAAGCTCCCGCGAGGCAGCGGTGTTGGGCCGTGGGCCACAGACGGACTCATGGCAGCGGCCCGATAAGCAAAGGCGGTTGAAGAAGAGGATACCCAAACTACCCCGGGCGGCTTGTATTAGCACAGGGATATACCGGGAATGTACCATGGCCATCCGGGGTAGAGTTGTAATACGGCGCATTAGTAAGCAGTGCCTTATAAAAAGGGGAAACAAATCATGTAAGAGGGCGTGGTGGATATATACATTTATAAAAACTCTAATTGAGCTTGGGCCCAAAATCCACTTCTCATACCTTCGCCCAGGACATCCGGCTGGGCGAAGGCCTTCCGTGTCCTACCTGCTGGAAACCCCGGTTTTCCAACATTGGCGTCCACCACGTGTTGCCCTAGCAAAACCCACGATGGCAAGAAAGAGAGCGGCCTTCGTCTAGACTCCCGCGGAGCCTTCGACGAGGGGGCGACCCAGGCGTAGCGCCCGCAGCACTTATGCTAGCGCCCTAGAAGACCAAGTTGTAGAAGAGCCCGCGGTCGAAGATCGTCCTCTGGTAGGCGAAGATTAGCCAGCCTCAGACCCCACCCCCGAGCAGGTGCTCCAACAACTGCAAGCTCAGTTGCAAAGCACACAACACGAGAGAGATAGGTTGGTGGCAACCTTCGCTGCAAACCAAAGGGCAACCCAAACATCATTACAGGCAGCGGAGATCAGGCAACAGTTGGCCTTCCTGCAGGCGGAGATACAAAGCATGCAGCAAAGCTAGCCCCAATCCAACACATCCAACCAGCTCCACTCAACAAATCAAAGCCAGCCTAACCCTTCGCCAGGTATGGCCGTCCAACCAACTTTCGACACACCTTTCAACTCACCGCCAGCTCAAAGAACCATATATTCAAGATCCCCACTGTCCGAGGGAATCCAAACCTCACCCTAGCCACCATCTTACAAGCCCATTACCCTATCCAAATTCAATGGAAGGTCAGACCCGCGCCAGTTCATCATGAGTTTTAAGATAGTCGTAGCCTCCGCAGGAGGGAATGACACTATCTTGGCCAAGTCATTTGTTATTGCAGCTGAAGGAGATGCATTAGCATGGTACTCAATGTTGAGGCCAAGTTCAGTATATTCATGGGAGGACCTCTGAGACAATATCATCGCTTACTTCAAAGGGTCCACCATCGAATCTTTGACGTCAATGGACTTATTTCAGTGCAAACAGAATCAAGGTGAAGCACTGAGGGATTATTTTTAGAGATTTGTGTAGCTTAAAGCGAAGGCACAAATGTCCCGGAAGATGTAGCAATTGAGGCCGCAATTAAAGGCCTCCACATCGGAGCCTTCGCAGCTCATCTATCTCGGGAGAAGCCAAGTACCATAGAAGAATTATACAGAGAGTTTGAGAAGTACTGCAGGTCAGACAATGACCTTCGAAGAAGGCTGGAAGAACAAAATCAGAACAAACAGTACCAAGGAAGTGGTAGGAACGCTCAGAGGAGCAACAGAAGCCAAGGCCACAGCCTCAGCAAGCGCCTAATCAACAAGTTTTCAACATAGAGCAGGAAGGGAGTAGCCAGCAACGGCAGCAAATGCCGGAGACAGAACAGAGCAAAGCATCGCAGAAGCAGTACGAAAGGCAAGAAATGCAATCAAAAGAAAAGTTGGAACAAAAACTAGGAACCAAGGCGAGAAAGGCGTATTGTTTCTTCCATGGAGAAACCAAAGGGCACATCACTAGAGATTGCCCAGATGCGAAAGAAACACAGGAGAGAATAAAAAACAGGGCAAATCCTCAACCTCGCCACAGTAACCCGCCAGGGAGGTCAACCACACCTTCATTGTACCTTTGCAGCAGCCATATTGCCTAGTCTACCCAAGCCTTAACTCCAATCAAATTCACCCATCCACCTTAGCAGCCGCATACTACCCCAACTTCCTACCTACATGGTGACCAAGCACCCAACAGCAAGGGTAGGGAAGTAATCAGTGAGCAGAAGCCAACCTCACCTACATAAACCCAAGGCCTCCACACATAACATTCATAGACACAAGTCAGCTAGCTCAAGTACACAATAGACAACTCGAAGCACTGCCTCCGCCACCACCTACACCACAGCTAGCCGCCCCCAAAAACAAAGCCCAACCCAGAAAACCAGCTCAACCCACACACACACTACCCACCATTAGAATGATATTGTTGATAGCCGGAGGCTCTTTAATGGAATTCCAGACAAAGAAGCAGAAGAAAGACCATCTCACGCTCATTAACAACATAGCCGTGCAAGGTCCGGTACGCTGCATAGATTGGTCGAAGACACCCATCACATTCTCAGAACAAGACCTTCAGCTGGAGAGTTACCCCCATACTAACGCTATGGTGATCAGAGCCAATATAGCAGTCTGGAAAATCAACAGGGTTCTCATAGACTCCAAAAGCTCCGTAGACATCATCTTTGTTAATGCCTTCGACCAGATGAAATTAATCAGAAGTCAGCTACAGCCTTCGGATTCACCACTAATAGGTTTTGGAGGAAAGAGAATCAATGCATTGGGTAAAATATCTTTGCCAGTCTCTTTCGGAGGTCAGGAAAATGCCAGGATAGAATATGTGACCTTCGACATAGTAGATCTCTACTACCCTTACAACGCTATCTTAGACAGGGGGTTTGCAAATAAATTCAATGCAGCCTTCCATATGGGCTACTTGTGTATGAAAATGTCAGCTCTGCATGACATCATCATAGTGCATGGTAGTTAGAAGGAGGCAAGAAACATAGAAAGAGCCATCTACAAATCATAACACAACATCAATTCTGTCGAAGCGGCCAGAAGCAACTCACCAAAACCTTCGGACATGCCGAAGGGTAAAACAGATCTCAAAGATCAAGAGGAAACAAAATCAGTCCCACTAGAGAATGCAGTCCTAGACAAGAAAGTCACAATCGGGGGCAACTTGTCCAAAGAAGAAGAAGCAAAACTCATAGAAACTTTAGCCAAGAACAAAGACGTCTTCGCCTGGTCAGCCTTCGACCTGAAAGGAGTCAGCAAGGATATTATACAACACTCCCTTGACATCAACCCCAAAATGAAGCTAAAGAAGCGGCGGTAAAGGAAAATATCGGAGGATAGAATCTTAGCAGCGATGGCCGAAGTATGGAGGCTGCTAGACGCAAACGTCATCAGAGAAGTCAAGTACTCAGAATGGCTGGCAAATGTGATACTAGTACCAAAGAAAAATAGAAAGATGAGAATGTGCATAGACTTCACAGATCTGAATAAAGCATGCAAGAAATACCCATTTCCGCTACCAAGAATAGATGACTCCGTCGATAAGGCGACAGGATGCAAGCGCTTCTCCCTCCTAGACTATTTTTTAGGATATCACCAGATCTAGCTCAGCAAAGAAGATGAGGAGAAAACAAGTTTGACTACCTCCTTGGGAACTTATTGCTACACCAGAATGCCCGAAGGACCAAAGAATGTAGGCTCAACCTTCGCCAGAATGACGAAGGCAGTCCTCGGCCGACAGCTGCAGGAAAAACATCATAGCTTATGTTGATGACACTGTGGTAATGAGCAAGAAGGAAGAAGATCACATAGCAGATTTAAAGGAAACCTTCGCCAACCTCAGAGAAGCTGGCCTAAAACTAAACCCAGAAAAGTGTGTCTTCGGCGTTAGCAGAGGCAAGATGCTTGGATACATCATAGGACCCGAAGGCATTCGGACTAACCCAGAGAAGGAGAAGGCCATAATCTCAATGGTGGAACCATCAACCAAAAAAGAAGTCCAAAATTTCACTGGAAGAATAGCAGCATTGAACGGATTTATCTCAAAGTCAGCTGAACGTAGCCTCCCATTCTTCAAAGCTCTAAGAGGCGGAGACAAAGTCGAATGGGGTCCAGAACAGTCGGAGGCCTTCCAGCAACTCAAAAGCTACATGGCCAGCAAACTCTTGGTAACAGTACCAGATCCGGAGGCACCACTACTGTTATATGTGGCAGCCTCCGACCATGCAGCCA